GGCGACCTTGGGTGCCTCTTGGGCCGTCTTGAGCAGTCGGAATGCCGAGAAGAAGCAAATTCCAAAATCCTTCAAAAACCTAGGAAACATAAATGATTTCGGCCTCTTCGGGCCCTCCTGGAGGACCTCTTGGAGGCCTCTTGGGCCGTCTGGGAGGCCTCTGGGGGGCCTCTTGGGCCGTCTTGGGCTGTCTTGGACTCTCTTGGGCCGTCTTGGAGGCCGTCTTGGACCATCTTGGGGGGACTTGGAGACCATCTTGGGCCATCTTCTAGGTTTTTTGAGGATGTCCTGGGCGAAACGGCAGTTTTTGGCGACGACAGACGGGTTTTCTGGGTGGCCCGAGCGAAACGGCCGTTTCAGGGAGGAGTGTTTGTGTACGTTGGGGTCCTGGGCAATCCTCCCGGGACTCCGGCGGGACGGGCCACAGCGCCAGGGGGAGTTCTTTTGTAAAAAGAACCAACACCAAAACCGAAAGGGTCCAGCACGCCAGGCACCCCTGCGATGCTGCGATGAATCGACAGGGGGCGGCAGATCTGGTGGCTTCGGCCCATCCCGCCACTGTGCCGGGGTTGAGGGTCAGAGTCCAAACAGATGCTTCTTGGGGTCTCTTCGGAGGGCTCTCGTGGGCCTCTGGCGGGAGCAGTTTCGAGGCCTCTTGGGAGCCTCTTGGGGGTCTCTCTGGTGCCTCCTGGGGCTTCCTGGGGGCCTCTTGGGGGCATCTTGTGGCCTCCTCGGGCTTTCTTGGGGGCCTCTAGTCTTGGGGCCGCACGCTCGAACTGCCCGATCGCGAGAGGGGGTTCTTTGAGTTTCACAAGCGATTGCTGGGGTCTGTTTGGGCCCCTCTTGGGGACCGCTTGGAGGCAGTTCCGAAGGCTCTTGGAGCCTCATGGGGGTCGTCTGAAGGCCTCATGGGGCTTTTGCTAGGCCCTTGGGGCATCTTGCCTGACTTGTGGGTCGTGGGTGGGAGTGGGGATTGTTCTGAGCCTCCTGGTGGCCTTTTGCCTGGGTCGTGGGTCATAGGTGAGAGATCTCATGGGTGCTTCTTTGAGTAGTTTCGGATGGCGCTCGGGGGCTTCTGGGGGGCAGTCTTGAGGCCCCTTGAGAGTTTCTTGGGGGCCTCTTTGGTGCCTCCTGTTGCTTCCTGGGGGCCTCTTGGGGCCATCTTGTGGCCTCTTCGGGCTTTCTTGGGGGCCTCTAATGTTGGGGCCGCGCGCTCGAAATGCCCGTTCATGAGGGGGTTCTCTGAGTTTCAGTTCTCTCAGATGATTGTTGAGGTCTGTTGGGACCCCCCGAGGGACCGCTTGGAGACAGTTTCGAAGGCTCTTGGAGCCTCATGGGGGCCGTTTGAAGGCCTCATGAGCCTCATGGGGCTTCCGCTGGGCGCTTGGGTTGTGGGTCGTGTGTGAGAGTGGGGCTTATTCTGAGCCTGGCCTTTGGCCTGGGTCGTGGGTCGTGAGTCGTGGGTGAGAGTTCTCATGTGTGCTTCTTTGGGTATTTTCGGAGGGCTCTCGGGGGCTTCTGGGGGCGCAGTTGTGAGACCCCTCAAGACTCGGGGGCATCTCCAGTGCCTCCTGGAGCTTCTTGTGGGCCTCTTGGGGGCCTCTTGGGGCCTCTTCGGGCTTTCTCAGTGGCCTCTGAGGGCGTCCTTGGGGCGTCTTCGGGCCGCACGCTCGAAATGTCCTTGCGGGTTTCCCCACTGGAGCCTCTCGTGGGGGTGTCTTGGCTTAGGCTGCCTTGGGGGCCTCTTGGGCTCTCCTGGGGCCCCTTGGGCCGTTTTGGAGCTCCTGTTGGAGCCTCTGGAGCCATCTTTGGACGATCTTCGGGGCCGCTTGGGGCGATCTTGGATGTCTTCTGGACCTTCTTGGGCGCCGTGAAATCGCAAAAGGCGAATTTGATGAACATGTACGTTTCCCAAATGAAATGGCACGACTTGTTGCTTCTCTGGGCCTTCTTGCGGATGCTCTTGGGAACTTCTTGAGGCGTCTTGTGGGCCCCTTGGGCCGTCTCGGGGCCACATCGGGTCGTCTTGAAGCTGTCTTGGACCGCCCCCGGGATCCGTGTAGCCATCTGAGGCAGTTCTGGAAACGATCTCGAGGGTTCGGGAGGTCGCCTGAGGCTGGCTGAGCAGCTGCCAGGAGCTCCCAGGAGCAACCGGGAAAATGGGCGTCGGGGCCCTTACGAACATTTCCCCCCTTCATCTGAGGGCTGCAGGGCTGCATGAGCCTTGGGGCACTCCACCACGTGCTGAAGGCACGGTGGCTGATAAGCATACATCGGAGTCTGGGTGGTAAGATCGCAGTGAAACGGAGAGCCCTTCACTATGAAATCGGTTTCGGTTTAGTGTCGTGCGCGCGGGTGAGGCGGAGCTGCGTGAGCGGGCGAGAGGAATGATCCCGCCCTGACTAGGGCGAAACTGGGCTCAATGTCTCTCCTCCCCCCCGGTTGGCCGGCGGTGGCCTGGGGGTGTCCCGCCGGTATCCCGTGGTGTCCCATTGTGTCCGGTGGTGTCTCGTGGCGCGGTGACCCGCGGTGGCCTGTGGTGGCGCGTGGAGGTCGATTGGGATCGATAGTGAGATCGATAGTGAGATCGACAGTGAGTTCGGCGGTGAGGTTGACAGATAGTGGGATCGCTCGATAGAGGGAGATCGATCGTGGAATCTATAGACGTGTTTGTCCGTGGTGTCCCGTGGTGTTTCGTCGTGGTGCCCTGCGGCCTTGTATGCTGTTCCGTGGTGCCCAGTGGTGTCTCGTGCCGATAGATGTATCGTAGGACTGGCGATGGCGGTGGTGGCGGTGGTGGCATTCACTTGCCCGCGATTGCGTTGATGACGCAATCGCCGACTGATCGTGACATTGATAGGATGTGTCGCGAGATAGACCATGATATCGCTATGCAGATAGTGAGATCGATTGCGCGGTGGATAGCGAGACCCATAGATAGTTAGATTGGTAAATCGATAGTGGGTCGCGATGGTGCCATTTATTTGCCTCAGCAGTGAGTTCAGGTGCTACGTCCAATGGCATTTCGATGGTATCCCGATGGTGTCCCGATGCTGCCCCAGTGGTGCCCCAGTGGTCCCACCAGCGTCGTCAGTACGTATCGTCGCCGCCTCGTACGCGCATCACCCGCATCGTCACCATCACAGTCGTCGCAGTTGCCACCAGCAGCCCCCCCCCCGACACACACACAGACACAGACACAGACACAGACACAGACACAGACACAGACACAGACACAGACACAGACACAGACACAGACACAGACACAGACACAGACACATCCGTAGCCATTTTGGCTCAAGCCATTCGGCTGAGCTGGCTGCGCCCGGCGCCGCTTCTCCGGGGCTTCCCGTGCCCTGCGCAACTTCGCCCGCCGGCATGGAGCTGGAGGCACTGTTGTCCAGGTGCCCGGTGGCCGCCGCGGCCTTCGGCGCGGTGGCGGCGGCGCTGTGCGCGCCGAGCGCGCCCGGCCGCCAGGTGGCCATGGTGGCAGCCTCCGTGGTCCGCGCCGCTGGCACGACGCCCCACGGAGCGCGTGGAGGTGAAGGCGTCCCGGTGTGTGGCGAGGGTGTCACGGCTGCGGCGCACATCAACATCCAGGAAGACCTCTTGCTGGCCGCGCAGGCGTCTTTGGGTCTGAAGCAGAGGCCAGGCGTATCGGACGTCAAGCGCGAGCTTCGGCGGAGAGGATGCAGCTCCTTAGCCTCGAAGTGCGGTCGGCTCTCGAAGCTGCGGGACACCGAGGCCCACATGGCGGCGAGCCTCCCGGCGGCGGTGGCGGCTGCGCTGATGGGCTCGCCTGTGTCGGGCGACCAGCAGCCCGGCTCGGTGGGCCGCTTGGTGCTTGACACGGTGTCCAGCGAGGAGTTCGCGACGGCCTCTGACTCCCAGCACGGCTCCTTGCCGCTGGAGAAGAAGCTGGTGTCGTCCCAGTCGCCGGCCTCGGACTTCCTGCACGACCCCGAGAAGCAGGAGGTAAAGTTGGAGGAGATCAAGTTGCTGGTCTCGGACGAGCAGTTCGTCAAGAGCGGCAGCGCCACGCCTACCGCTGCCTGCTTGGGCGGGCGCATGGGCGGGGCCAAGTTCCCTGTGGAGGCCGAGGCGCCGACGGAGGCCGCGCCGCCTATGAAGCAGGCCTCAGCTATGGGAACCGCCGCGTACGACGAGGATGAGTTCCGTGAGGCGACCAAGGGCCTCAGCGAGCGCCAGTCCTTAGTCCTGGCCGTCGTCGACGGCATCGTGGAGGGCAATGTCGATGTGTCCCTGTCTGAAGTCCTCAGGCTGCTGGACGGCATGGGAGTGCTTCATGTGCCCCAGGGACCTCGTCTTGTCAGGGGCCGTGTCGCCCTCCTGCGGAAGCGTGGGCCTTCTGAGGTGCTCGTCTGAATGATTGCAGTTGATATGTTCGTCTTGTGAGGCCTTCTGTTCTGTGCAGTCTGCGCCCGCACGAGGTGGAGTGTCATGAAGTGATTCCCTCCTGTATTTGTACGGGTACGTGCCAGGCCGCCTCTCGTTGGTTTGCGCGGATCCATCATGCAGTCGAGAATGTTGTCTTTATGTTTCAGCCTCCTGCTCTGCATTCTGTGCACATGCAGGAGTTGACCCGAGTCGGAGGTTGAGGGTTTGACGTGTCGAGCGTGCTCTCGGGGCCGATGTGCCCTGGAGGTGTTGGTTCCGACGTCGTCGATGCGCTCTGGGCCGAAGCGCCCCTTTCGTGTCTTGGGAAGGCCCCTGTGGGCCGTGGCTTCTCAGTGAGGCCTTGGCCCACGGTGGGCTCCTTTTGCCTTTATAGGCCCCGCGTCGCAGACACAGACACATCCGTAGCCATTTTGGCTCAAGGCCATGGAGCACCCGACGACCGCGAGTCGTCCGCGGCGCTCTGAGCGCGAGGGGCTCTTCGCTTTGGGCCAGCTCACAAGTGATTTTTCTTCGTGCCGACAGCACGGGCCGCCAGGCCGCAGTTTTGGGCCGCGAGGCCACACGTCGGGGTCAGCCTTGCCATGGTGGCGTACGGACAGGCAGCTGGAGGCCGCTCCTGGGCCAGCGTCGCGGCGTGCGGCAAGGCCAAGGGCAACTGGGGCTACTGGGTCTGCTCCAGCGGCCAGGGCAGGGAGTGGAACTGGTGCTCGCTCTGGAAGTGCCGCAGCTGCGGCCGAGTGGCCCCGCCTTGGGTCGAGGCAGCCCAGCCGCCCGCGGCTGCCGCTGGCCAGGAGCCGCCCGTCGCCGACGCCGAGGGCTTCGTCGTCCAGCCCCGTGGGAGGAAGGCGAGGCGCCAGGCCAAGCGCACTGCTGCCCGCGCGGCCAGCGCTGGGGCCGCCAGTCTGGCAGGCGTCAGCGAGGCCAGCAGCGCGCAGCCGTCGGCCGTCGAGCGGCACCGCCAGGAGGTCAAGCGCATCGAGGACTTCCTCGCGGCCCCTGGCGGGTCCATCGGCGATGGGTGCCTGCAGTCGCTGCGCGCGGCCCTCGACCGCGAGCGTCGCAGGCTCTCGGCAGCCGAGGCGGCGCTGGCGGGGCGCAGGAGGGCCGACATCCCCCTGCCCAGGGCGCTCCACGGCGCAGGCAACGCCCCGGGGAAGCTGGTCAGGCAGGGGCGGGCCAAGGAGCAGGCGCTGCTCAAGGCAGAGGAGGCGCGCGAGGCCGCATGCGCTGAGGCGGTCGAGGAGTGCCGAGTTGCTCTCGAGGCTCACCGCGAGGGGCAGAGGGCCGCGGAGGCCAGGCAAGCCAAGGAGGTCGGCGCGGCCTTCGTCGGCACGGACTTGCTCGGGATGGTCTTCGGCCTCATCCAGCAGGTCGAGGCCTTGCCCCAGGGCTTCGCCGCGGGCAACGGGGAGGCCGCCTTCGCGGAGGTCGCCAAGCAGATCGCCGCGGCCCGCAGGCATGCACCCCCCGAGGCCAAGGGGCGCTCATCCTGGGCCGACACCCCCCTCGACGTCTCGGACGAGGACCTCGACGGAGATGAGGAGGAGCGGGTGCGTGCGTGACGCGGCCGAGCGCGGCCAAGCTGCGCGGCGAGGAGAGGCGCACGGTGCGTGGCCCTCAGCCCAGCCGCTGGCTAGGGACCTGGCCAACGCTGGGGCAGCCCTCCTCGACGACCAGCCTTTGGCTACTACGGCTGCTGTGGGCCGCAGTCGGGTTTGACGTCGATTCGGCAGGCCCGTGTTCGGTTGACAGCAGGAGGGTCAGACGGCGCCTGAGCGAGAGCGGGGAGCCCAATGCCTTTCCCTGGGCCTGGGCAAGCCTGCGAGTGCGGCACCTGGCCGAGGGGGAGCGATGAGGGCCGCCGACGGGCGGGTGGCCGATGCCCCTCACCCCCCCGCGCTCCCCGTCGAGGCCGCTGACGAGCGAGTGGCCGAGACCCTCGACGGGCGCAGCGGAGCCAAGGTGTCAAGTGTCCAGAGGACGAGGATGACGGCGCAGGAGGCCTGCATTGGCGAGGCTCGCCTCGGGCCGCAGCCTGCCCTTGAGTCCGACCCTCGAGGACATTGCCCCCTGCGTGCTGGCCTGGAGGTCCTGGGCTGCAACGGTAACGTCTGGAACAGGAGCGCCGAGGTCCTCGAGGCCTTCTTCCACGCCCACCAGCACTGGCCGCAGCTGGTCCTCCTTCAGGAGACGAGGCTAACCCACGAGCGCCTTCCTGGGGCCAGGGCGCTGGCACGCCGCCTCGGCTACACCGCCTTCTTCCACGAGGCGGTGGCCACGGACCAGCCTGGCCCGAACGCCGCGTCGGGCGGCGTCGCGATCCTGGTGAGGGCTGGACTCCAGGCCGAGGAGTCCGCGTGCCAGCTCCCTGCGGCCCTGCGCCACCGCCTCATCGGCGTAGAGGTGACGGCGCCGTCGGGCCTCCGCCTCCACGCCTTGGCTGGGTACTTCCAGCACTCCTTGGGCCCGCGGGGGATCAACCTCGACCTGTTCTCCTCGGTCTCGGACCTAGTGGCATTCTCGCTCGACTTGCCCTGGGTCCTCCAGGCTGATGTCAACATGGAGCCCGAGCCCCTGCAGGAGTTGGGCTGGCCTGCAGCGGTTCGCGGTCAGGTGCCCGGACCCTCTGAGGCGACCTGCTGTGCCCAGGGCTTGGAGCACGTCTACGACTGGTTCGTCGCGTCGTCCGACCTGGCCACGTGCACGGCGTCCTGCGCGACCACGCTCAACGACTTCGCGTCCTGCGCGACCACGCTCAACGACTTCGGGCTGCACCCGCACTCTCCTGTGCTGCTGCGCCTCCAGTGCGTCAGGTGCGATGCCCTGGTCGAGGTGCCCTCCCGTCCTGCTCGGTTTCCAGAGGTGGAGGTCAAAGGCCTGCGCTCCCGCGAGGACGCCCTGGCCCAGGCCTTCACTGTCGGCAGGCGCGGGAAGGTGTCGCAGAAGGATGTAGCTTGGTCATGGGCTCAGGGCTCGCGCCCGACCTGTCTCTCTGCTGCCTTCGGCGAGTGGATCGAGGCGGCGGAGGGCACTCTCACGGGCATCCACGGGATTGCGCCAGGCGACCTGCCGCGGTACCTTGGGCGAGCAGCAGGGCCCAAGACCAGGCGCATGCCCTTCAGCGCGCTGGTGCAGCGCGAGGCCAGGTTGAAGTACAGCATGCTGACCCACCGCCTGAGGAGCTGCCTAGCGGTCGCCCTCCAGAGGCTTCGCGCCGAGCAGGCCAGCAGGTGGCACCCGAACCACTCTTGGTGGTATGAGCAGGAGGCTGCGGCGAGGGCGAAGCCCCTGGACGAGGCGACCCAGGAGGAGGCTGGTCTGCGGAGCGCGCTCCTCCCTGGGGCCTCCGACGAGAAGTGGGGTGACCTCGCCTTCCACGCGGGGGTGAAGGGCTGCCCCACGGCGATCGCCAAGCTGCAGTCGTGGCTCTTGGCGTCCCAGAGGCGCGATGCCGCTCGTGGTCAGCGGCGCCGACACTGGGAGGCCCCTCGTCGGCATGGACGCCGTGGACCAGCTCACGCGCACGTGGCAGCGGCTCTGGCTCCAGGAAGGCTTCTCCAGCGGAGTCGGAGCCCACCGGTGGGATGTTGGCTCCTGGACGTTGCCGCCCATCACCCTGGAGGCCTTGCAGCAGGCGTGCAAGCGCTACGGCCCGTCGGTGGGGCTGGGCTGCGACAACCTGCAGCCTCGCCAGCTTCTTCTGCTGCCAGTGGCGCTGCAGCTTCGCCTGATTGACATCCTCACGGCGTTCGAGGACGAGCCCTCTTCGATCAGGGGACAGGTGACGCCCATGGTTTTTATTCCTAAAGCTGACGGAGGGACGAGGCCCATCGCGCTGCTCCCGCTGGCCTTGCGGCTTTGGTCTCGCCTGAGGCAGCCGTGCTGTGCCCGATGGGAGTCAGACCACAGCTTCCCCTTCTTCTGGGGTCGCGATGGCCGTGATTGCGAAAGAGCGGGTTGGATCCACAACTGCTTCGCGGGCTTCGCGATGGCCTCCCCGCATTTCGAGGTGGCCAGCCTGTTCCTGGACATCCGCAAGTTCTACGAGCACGTGCGCCACGACGTCCTCTGGACGTCAGCCCAGCGCTTCGGCTTCAACCTGAAGCTGCTGCGCGGCCTCCTCGCCATCTACCAGGCCCCGGGGATCGTGCTGGCAGGTGGCATGGCTTCGGCCCCCTTTGGGGCCAGTGGCACAGTGCTGGCGGGCTGCGCGTGCGCGACGGCTGTTGCTAAGCTTCCCGTACTTGGAGGCCTCCTCGCAGCTGGGGCTCAGCGGCCTCTTGCCACCCTGCGCAACTTGGTGGGCGACGTCTCGCTCCAAGCTGTCGGCTCGGCGAGGCTGGTTGTGGACCAGCTCGCGGGGGCCAGTGGGGAGGTGCTGCGACACCTGCGGGCCCACCACCTCCCGCTCAATGAGGGCAAGTCCGTGTTCCTGGCCTCGTCGGCACAGGTGGCGGACGGCCTCGCCGCCAGCTGGGCCGCCCTCGGCTTCGAGGTCAAGCGTGGCTCCCAGGCCCGCAGCCTGGGCACCGACGCCAACGTGACCCGCAGAGGGGTCCACGAGGGAGGCGCCCGCGCCGTGGGAGGCCTCTCCCGCGCCAGGCGGCTGAGAACCCTGGGCTCGGCGGGGGCCGCGGTGGTGCACATGCACCGCGCAGGCCCAACCGCCGCCATGCTGTGGGGCAGGACGGTCACAGGGGTGCCCGACGGCGAGCTTCACTCTTGGCGCCTGGCGGCTGCGCGCTCGGCAGGGAAGCTTCCCAAGGGCGCCTCCCTTGGGCTGAGGCCCAGGGCGATCGAGGTGCAGCGCTCCACCGACCTGGACCCGAGCCCAGCCCTGGTGCGTGCCGCGGTGCAGGTGGCAGCCAGCCTCCTTCAGACGGGCGAGGTTCCCCTGATGATGTTCGCTACCTGCCTGGCGGAGGCCGAGCGCAGGCACGACAGCATCAGGGCGCCCTGGGTGAACTGCAAGAACCCCGTCGACGCCCTGGCCCTCTCTCTGTTGCGGGTTGGGTGGCGTCTCTCGGCTGGGCACATCCTGCACACCGACGGCGGCCACACCTTGGACATGCTGATCATGGCCCCCCGCGAGCTCGGGCTGCTGGCTGCGGCAGGTGCCCGCAGGGCCTCCGACAGGGCTGAGATGACGCGGCTTGGGCACGGAGCCGCCCCCTCCATGCCTTTGTTTTGGGACGCACTCGGCCAGGTCATCGGCCCGCGCGGCAGGTTCAGCTGCAGGGAGAAGGCCGCGGTGGTGAGCTACCTGTCCAACGCCCACTGGCCGCAGACTCGCCTTTTCGCGTCTGGTGAGCGGGGCCACCCTCGCTGCTGCGCCTGTGGCGAGGTGCGTGGCAGCCTCTGGCACTGGCTTTTCGAGTGCCAATCCCTGGCCGCTGAGAGGAGGGACTCGGTGTCAGCCCGCCTCCTTCGCTGCGCCACTCGAGTGAGGCAGCGAGGTGAGGAGGCGGGGGAGTGCTTCTCTAGGTGCTGGCTGCCGCAGCCCCCGCAGACGGCCTGGAGGTCGGACGCGATGGCAGCCATGTGGGTGAACAGGCCTGCCGACGGGCTGCTAGGCGGTCGCTTTTTCCTCGACGGCTCGGCGCTCGACCATGAGTTCGAATGCATCCGCAGGGCTGGCTGGAGTATCGTGCAGTGCGACGAGTTCGGCAACATGGAGGCGGCGGTGTACGGCACGGTCCGCCTCGACCTATGCCCCTTCCAGACGGCGAAGGACGGCGAGGACCTCGCGGTCTGGATGCTGAGCCGCTACCTCGGGCCTTCGATCATCGAGATCAACATCGACTGTGAGTCCACAGTCAGCTGCTTGAAGCTCGGCAGGAAGTATGCGACGGCGGCCACCAAGCCCAATGCACACCTGTGGTCGGCCGTCTACGCCTCGCTGGACGTCGACTCGCTCAATGTGAACAAGGTGGCGGCCCACTGCACCGAGACCGATGTCAGCGAAGGCAGGATCTCGGAGTATCAGTGGCTTGGGAACGCCCACGCCGACACCTCGCTGGACGTCGACTCGCTCAATGTGAACAAGGTGGCGGCCCACTGCACCGAGACCGATGTCAGCGAAGGCAGGATCTCGGAGTATCAGTGGCTTGGGAACGCCCACGCCGACAGGCTGGCGAAGGCGGGGGCGGCCCTCCACAGGGCCAGCGCGGCGGCCAGGCGCGAGTTCTTCGGCGCGATGGAGGTCGTGAGAGAGCTCTCCAGGTGGATCGCGCAGGCCTCGATCGTCTGGCAGGACAGGGCCTCCAAGGACTGCGAGGGCCTCCCTGAGCGCGACGAGCGAAGGACGGCTGTCACCTTCGCGGTCCCGCTGGAGGAGCGTGCTGACGGCCTGCGGGCGGCCCCCGTGAGCGAGTCGGGTGCCCCGCCCGCCGCCGTGGGGGCCCGCGGGGAGCAGGCAGGCAGCCGCCCCGCCGCTGTCGGCGCCTGGGCCTCGGCGGCGCGCGACGGCGGAGCAGCGCTGGGCGCCCTGGTCTTCGCCGTCGCTGGGCACGCCCTCGCGCGCGCCAGGTGCGGTGAGGACGGCGACCAGCAGGAGATCATTGCGTGCACCAGGTGCGGAGCGTATGCGAGGCTTGGCGGACTCCCCGGCCCGCAGCCCAAGCTCAGGGAGCGCTGTCCTGGGGCAACGGGCCTCCCCAGGTCGCTGCGGGACCAGAAGTCGCGGTGGGAGCGTGGCCTCCACCCTGGGCGCGCGCCGCACGCCCGCGACGCGCGGAGGAAAGGGGGCGGAGGCCACCCGCCTTCGCAAGGAGGCCGAGGTGCCGCAGGACGCCAGGGTGCGTTTCCTGAAGTGGCTCGGAGTCCAGCCTGATGCCCCAGCAGGCGTCGAGGGCAGCGCCTCGGTGGCCGACGCTGCTGGGGGCGACGCTGGCTGCGCGGCCTCCTCCTCGACGGAGCTGCCCGCGGCGGCTGGGGGCGCCGCGGCGGGAGCGGGATCGCGGCAGGCCTGGCTGGAAGCCGACGGCCTCGATGAGGAGAGCCTGCTGAGCTGGGCTGAGGAGGCTGAGGAGGCCCGACTTGAGCGCCAGAGCAGGAAGCGGCGCAGAGATGACGGAGATGGAGGTGATTGAGTCCGCGCTGGCCCCAGCCTTGGGGCGCTCGGACCGCGCGAACGCGCGTGTGCCGAGCCTTGGCTGCTCCTGGCTGTGGAGCGCCAGCCTGCCTCTCCTCCTGTCCTCCCTCTGCGTCCGTCTCCTGTCCGCCCGTGCGTTTTGGACCCCTGGTGGCCGCGGGCCTCGGCGTGTGGGCGTTAAGCTTCCTGCGCCTCGCCTGCCTCGCCGTGCCGCTTGGGGCTGTGCAAGCATGTTTGGGGCGTCGCCCGCCGCTTGTCTGCGCGGTTGTATATATTCCAGCGCTTCGCGCTGATGCCCCTCGACGGGGGTCTGAGCTGACAGGCCGAGCGGTGCCTCGGGGCCGATGTGCCCTGGTGGCAGCCTTCTGCGGCTCGTCTGGGCTCTCGGGATCCCTTGTGGCCCGCCCCCTGTCTTGGGACGGCCCCTCGTGGCTTTGGCCCCTCAGTGGAGCCTGGGCCCTCTGTGGGCTCCTTTTTAGCCTTTATAGGCCCCGCGTCAACAGACACAGACACAGACACAGACACAGACACAGGCACAGGCACAGACACAGACACAGACACAGACACACACAATCTCCTTGTCACCTCGAAGGCTACTTGTTTGTTTTTGGAAGCTCATTCTAACATGCAGAGTGCACTTCTTCGCACTTTTTTAGAGGCTTCTGAAGCCCACGACATGTTTCTGAAAGGGCACTACGGGCTGCTGCACGGCGACCTAAAGACCTTAAAGTATATGCTAAAGGCCACTCGAGGCTTCTAAACCGAGGTTGCCTTTGCTAGAATTGGCTTCCAAAACGACTCACCTAACGAAGGGTGGTCGTATAGGTAAGCGTTCAAAGGTCTGCGCAGATTTCTTGTGTTCTGGCGGAGGGTAGGGGGGACGAGAGAAGGGAAGAAATTGGAAGGTGAGATGTGAAGTGAGGTACGGGGGGGGGGTGGAGGGGCGGCAGGGGGCGGGGGAGGGAATTGGAAGGTGCAGTGTGGAGTGAGGCACGGGGGGGGAGAGTGGAGGAGCGGCAGAGGGTGGTGAGAGGGGAAGGGGTGCGGAGTGAGGGCGACGGGGTGACTGGGCGGGGAGGGTGTGGGGGAAGAGGGAGGACCAGGTGAGGGGGGGGGCGGGAAGGCGAGCGCCGCAGAAGCGCACGGGCGTGCGGGGCAGGCGGGGTGCAGGACTTCGGACCCCCCAGAGTTCTGTAGGACCGTCCCTCGCCGCACACCAGGCAAGAGAGTGGCCTGCCAACGTGTGCCCCGCAGAAGTCGCTTCTCCCCCCCCCCGAAGGGCCCCAAGGGTCCTCAGAAGCGCTGGGGCATGCCCCAAGGAGATGATCGTTTTCTTATACATTGTTTCGCCGATCGGCGCGGGCCCTCGCACCCCCCCCCTTGGTAGATCTTGGCTCTTTTTGTAGCCTGTCTCAAGCAGGTGGAGTTTCCCCCACATGACGCACTGCTGCAAACAGTCGCACTATCAGCAGAGGTCCAGAGCCAGACCCACCCCTCCCCCTCCTTCCGCCCAATGTCGAAACGCCGAACAAGAAAACGTTCACCAGGGTATTCGTCGTGTGTGCCTGCTGTACACCCCGGGATCGAGATCGTCACCCGAGTCCGGACGTGCCGAGCAGGCGCCCGCTGTGGCACCTCGCCGGCGCCCAGAGGCCTGCCCCTGACCTCGCACTCGTCGTGCTCTGGGACGATGCTGCCAAGAAGGGCGGACGCGTCAGCGATTCCCGCCCAGCTTTGCACCCGCTGTTTCCGCCCCACCTTTGTTACAGTGTCGGCCCCACCGAGGACACCAGCTGAACTCGGACCCAGCTGAGCTCGGACCGGGGCTGCATTCGGACCCCCGCTGAACTCGGACCCTGGCTGAACTCGGACCCAGAACTCTGACCCAGAAAACTCGGACCCAGCTTATCTCGGACCCAGCTGAACTCGGACCCAGCTGATCTCGGACCCAGCTGAACTCGGACACAGCTGAACTCGAACCCAAGTGAACTCAGACCGAGGCCCGCGCTGCAGCGGGAACGCCTGTGTCCGAGATCAGCTGGGGCCGAGATCAGCCAGGTCCGAGATCAACCTGGTCCGAGTTCAGCCGGGTCCGAGTCCAGCCGGGTCCGAGTCCAGCCAGGTCCGAGACCAGCCAGGTCCGAGCCCCGCCAGGTCCGAGACCAGCCGGGTCCGAGTTCAGCTGGGTCCGAGATCAGCCGTGTCCGACTTCTGCTGGGTCCGAGTCCAGCCGTCGGCTGAGCCCAGAGCCGCTCGCGCTCGAGGTCTCGCAGGCAAACGCCCGCGCGACGTCCCCGTCACCGCACGCGGCTACGGAGGAGAAGTACGGTATGGGGGCACTCGGCGCCTGGAGTTGGCAGGTGGTGACGCATGTGCCTTGAGGTGGTAACTACGGGTCCCGCCGGGCCGTCTCCATTGGTCGAGGAACCGAACCGAAGGGGGGCGGGTCCTCGGCCCCCGCCAGCGCCAAGCGACGGCAGAATCGAAGGCTGATCGGTTGGGGCTGGAACCAGATGGTCGGCACCAGGTGCGAACGAGAAACGTGCCCCCCCCCCCCCCAGGGGCCAACCGACAGCCCCTTGGACAGCCGCGACCCGTCGAGAGCGCACTCCCAGGGAGGGACAGGAAGACCTCAGGAGGGGAAAAACACACACAGACACAATGAATCGTCGATTCCCAGGAAAAGATAGGAAAATATGGGAAGTGGGGGGGAAGACAAAAACGCTGAAAATATCGAAAATATTCAGGAATCCTGTTATTTGTGTGTATTTACTTGTGTGTCCCAGGGCCCCTTCAAGACCTTGCGCCCGAGTCCAGGGCAGACGACTCCATCGGCACCGCGGCCGGCACGCGAAGACTTGCACCACCTATGCCACGCATCCCTTTGCGATGCTCCCCCCCCCCGCGCGGGAGACGGAAAAGGCACGGGTCCGTGGGGCACAGGGCGAGGGCGTCCCCGGCTGCGCCGGGGGAGACCCCAGGACGAAGACGAGGATCGACTACACGTAAGAGTGACCCTTCGCCGGAGTGACCTTTAGTACAAGCCCATTGGGGTCCCCCAATCGCCGAACTCGACGCGATAGTAGCGTTCTGCGCGCCTGTGTTTTGTCCCCCCGCGGCGACCAAAAGCCGCGCAACAGAGGTCACTCTTACCCAGGGTCAGTCTTGCGTGTAGTCGAGAAGACGAGGGAGACGGGCGAGAGAGAGGGGGCAAGGGAAGACAAGGAGAGGAGCAGCGGAAGGGGGCAGGAGGGAGAGGGGGGCGAATGGTAACACGGTTCACCCCCATCCAGCGTTCGTGGCGCAGTCGGCGGCTCCACCGTGGAAGGTACGAACGAGCCTCACTCAGTCCTGGCGGGGAGAGCCTGGGCAAGGCAGAAAAACACGGGAGAGGGAGGCACCGTCAGACAGAGTTCCGTTCCCACGTCGTGGAGTGGCTGGTGTCATGGATGGCGTTGTCTCGACACCCCCCTCCCGCCCGCAGCGCAAGGGGGACCGTGGCGGGAAAAAACACAGCCAAAGAAGAAGGGCGACAAGAGGAGGGGCAGGACGAGAGGGGGGACAGGGCGAAGGGGCAGGGCGCAGGGGCTAGATCAGGTGGTTGCTGATTATGAATGGTGGTCGCACTTGCCGTAGGCAGTCAGATAATGCCGAAACCCCTGATGCCCGAAGGCCTTAATACCCGAAGAATTAAACATCCCAAGACCCTCAACCCTGAAGCCCCTGAAGCATAAAACCACAAAGCCCTCAGACCCTAGGTCCCTGAAGGTCCTGACACTCGAACCCTTCCAGTCTGAAGCCTCCAAGACCCCATTGCCCTAATGTCGGGGGCGGCATTGAGGGGGGTGATGACTAGGGGGGGGGGATATCATGGCGGGGGCCATGATATTTCCCAGATTTCATGGCGCCTCTTCTTGTTTCATTACGTCCCTGGCCCCCCCGCTGAGCCGCGCACATGCCGCCGGTCATGATTTGCACGTCCCCCTCTTGGACACCCCCCTCTTGGCCGCTCCCGATAATGCCACGAGGTGTGGGTTGCATTGGAGTTACTTCAGTTGGAGCAGTTGGATCTCACAGACACGGCGAAGATGAGCCCCATCGGCCAGGCCTGCGCCCGAGGCGGAGACGGCGCGCGCCCCATTTCATGCGGGCACGCTCGGCGCGGCGATTACTGCACAGACGTAGACGACGCCAGGATCGCGACCCTCCTAGTGCAGACCACTCGCTGTAGTGCAGCAGTGTGTGGACGCGGCCTCCTCCCAGCCGTCCTTATCGAGGCTCTCATCGGGATGGCGCCCTTCCTGCGCTCAGCCTCCTTCTTTCTGCGCCCTTGCATAAGCGCGATGGCGGGATTTGTCGCAGGCAGCTGGATGTATCCCCGCGTTTTCCTTTCGTGCGGCACTGTTGCCCAGGGAGCTCCAGGGCGGAACCCAGCGACTAGAGCCTTGCCGACCCCGCGAACGCCGACACACACCGAACAGCCACATCAATAGCAAAGCAGGCGCCACAGACAGCGCGAAGAAATGATCCTGGCGAGGGGCCCAACCGTATGCAGTTGTGAGTACCTCAGTTGTGATTGTCTCCTTCGGTGGAGCTCCCTGGCCGCGTGCGAGCGCAGCCACTGGGGTCTCCGGTGGAGCTCCCCATGGGGCCACGAAACGTGTGAAGGGTGTGCCGAAATGGAGATGGGATGGCACCGCATGCGAACGCAGCCACTGGGGCTTTCGGTGGAGCTCCCCACAGGGGCGCCGAAAGGGGGGTGGAACCGCATGCGAACGCAGCCACTGGGGCCTGCGGTGGAGCTATGGCAGTCGCGCTCTTCTTCGGAAACTGGAACGTATACATTACCAGTGGCGGGCGGTTTTTCAATCCCAGGACTTTTTTGAGGGTCGGGGACGACGTCGGGGTGGAGTGGTGTATACTTGTTTCCCAGTTTTCCCGAGGATGCAACAGAAAAATACACCATGATGCCGTATACACCAGAATCCGTTTTCTTGT